ACGAGCAGTAGCAGTAGTAGTAGTAGTAGTAGTAGTAGTCGTAGTCGTAGTCGTAGTCGTAGTCGTAGTCGTAGTCGTAGTCGTAGTCGCAGTCGTAGTAGTAGTAGTAGTAGTAGTAGTAGTAGCTATTAGTAGTAGTAGTAGTAGTAGTAGTAGCAGTAGTATGTGTAATGGTATGTGCAATAGTATTAGTAGTAGTAGTAGTAGTAGTAGTTGTTGTTGTTGTTGCGTGAGGGTTTGGTCTTGATATCTCGTATATAGTTGCTCACCTCACCGAGCTTCTTGTAGTTGTGGTTGCCTATGACCAAGCACTGGACAACGTAACACAAGCAGGCAACTTCAGATCTCTTTTCGCTTCCTCGCGGTACAGCTGAAGTGTCTGTGCAAGGGGGCAATACACGCAATAGCTGATGATGTCTGGAGACAAGACAGGAAAGTAGTGCTTTCTACCTTATTCCTCTGCCTCGTGCTCTTTGAGCTTGTGGCTTCGGTTTGACCTTTGACTTGAGCCAAAACATTCGCCGGAGAACATCAGATCATGGGATAGCCCAAGGCTGATCACCATGTCTTTTGTATACTCTTATACGGGTCTCACAGCCGATCAACATGGATGCCCAAGGCAGCCCATGTGATGTAAGTTAACATTGCACTAGGTATCGAGGTCTCTTCACACCCTCCATGAGTGAGGCTTTCAGCTTTGCTCACGAAAAGAAGAGTGGAGTGGGACCTGAAAAGAAAGCAATCTCAACGGCGATGTTGGTCTTTTGCGTGTAGAAATGCCCAATTAATCGCTGCGTGAAAACACGAGTACGTTGGGTGCGATCCCCGGCTTTGGTGAAAAGTGAAGGGAAACACCCAAAGAAATATGCGCGAAATGTGGCGCAAGTGTCATGTTCACATTGCGAGGAGGTAATCAACATATGCGAGGATGTGCAGATAGTCGCTCAATAGTGCCAGCGGTCATTGTCGTCTCGATAGTCCCGGTTGTAGTTACCATAGGCACGTTGATTGCGCTGCCATCGATCGCGTCGAGGTTGCTGTTGTGGAGGAGGAGTTGCACCTTCCGTCTCTTCACGTTGACGACGTTGACGACGTTGTCGAGCTGCGTCCAACTCAGCGGCTTACTCAGTCGTGACAGGTGCGTTCATGATCCTGTTGTGTAGCTCTGGAACGTTAGCCGGCAAATGTGTCAATGCAGCTGGATTCCTGGAAGTGTGAGCTTGTTGACGACTGGCGATCACGCGTGTTCGGAAGGTGGCTGGTAGCTGGATGCCGCTGTCGATCAAGAGGGAAAGTAGTTCCACTGGGATTGTCTTGGAACCTATCATCTGTGCAACACCGCAAGGGTCAATGCAAAGTACGTGTTCCGTAGACACACTGGAGCTGGGTCGCATCATAGTGAAGTTGTTGTACCCGGTGACTTTTCCGATGACCTTCTGCAGCAACGCATAGCAGCTCGAATGCATCTGTGGCGCGTTGATGGATTGTCCTGCGCACATGCGGTTGGTAGGGTTGAATCGGTCCCTCCCAATTCCCAATTGCGCAGCTCCTCTCATGATTTTGGAGATCAGTTGGTTTGTCCGTAACCTGCGAAGTAGATATTCGCCATCAGGGTCTTCGAACTGATTTTGGCTCCGGCCCCAAGCAAGAACCTCCTCGTCGAGCACATCTCGGGAAATCAATGTTTCAGGGTCGACTTCAGAAAGAGCTGGACCCCATCTTCCGAGAGCGTCATAACGATATCCCTGTTCGAACATCTGTTGCATGGTTCGTAGCGGAATTTCCAACCACTTCATGTTTGCTCTCCAATTCTTGTAGATGTAACTGCAAATGGTATAGGCCATGTAGCGTGCCAAGAGCAGATTCGGGTCCACCGCGCACGCTCGTTCGACCTGGATGTAGATGGGAACCTGCACGAGAGCCCTGGCGTGCTCCAGATCTTGATCAACGTAGTATCCGACGTCACCGATCAGCACGGGAATTCGCGAACTGACAACATCTGGATCCTCTTCTTCGTCCTCTGGTTCTGGATCTTCTGGCGCTGGTTCTGGAGCGCCCGGAACAATATCTTCTGTGTCATGCGGTTCGGGCTCAGCAACAGTTTGCCGATCATCTTCTTCCAGTGGATCTTCGTTCGCAGCCATCTCAGCTTGTTCAATGGTGCGATTGATCACGTCGCTGGGGACCTCCAAAGGAGCCTCCTCCTCCTGGCGTACTGTACGATACAACCTTCCAGTGGAAAACAAGTCGGTGAAGCATGTAGCACATCGTGAGAGACACGACGGCGTATGTTGCAAGCACCAAGGGCAAAGTCGGTACCGAAGTTCATGGTCTCGACGACTCCTCGCGTGTTCCATTGGCTTTGTGTGTTTGATGATGAAGTTGATGGCGTCCATGTAGAGCCTGTCATAGCGTTGCCAATCAGCGGCGCGCCAATCTACGCCAGAGTAGTCTCCAAGTCTAGCCACGTATTCTTCCTTGGTCGCGTCATGTGGACCGTTCGGCATCTCGCACAGCAATTCCATAAGTCTCTCGGTTGTTCTGTAAGGAGCAAACTCCTTCGCAATCGGTGATGCGCTGCACTTGGTACAGATCTCATCCTCCAACTCGTAGTCCAAGAGCTTCTCCACAAGATCAAACTTGCGTCTGTGCCGGTCTTTCGGCACGCAAAGCCAAGCTTCTTTCACGAATCGGAAAGGGATGGGGTTGCTGCATACGATGATACCACCCTCCGTGATCCTTCCTCCTGCTCTGACGACGTCGATGATCGGTACATATAGTACAACGAGAGGCAAAGATGTGTTGACACTTGATCTTACCCTTGTCACCTCGTTCCTTACGTCCCATGGCGCAAATACCCCCCAGTGGCTGTGGAGTCTTCCTGAAGCATGGCGATTCTCCATGAGATCCCTGCCAGCTTTGATACCTCCTTCCGTGATGTCCTTGAGGTTGTAGCACTCGGTTGCATGGAACGCGCCTTGGACAGCATTAGCGAGAGTGTTGCTAATGGACATTGCGAACTTTGATGGATCAATCTCCATACCTGCAAGCTCTGGTGTCATAGTCTGTCCACTCGTTGCTCGGATTGCCCAAGGCATAACCCAGCCGTCGCAAAGTGTGATCTCATCATCAGTGAGGTGCCGGGTAGCTGGTGGAGATAGCCGAAGTTCACGTCGTTGCATGGTCATTGTGACCATCCGGCTGTCGAAAGCCTGCACGTCCTCGGCAACAGATGCATGCTGAGGTGGATCTCCCAAGCGTATCCCCAACAACTGTAGACGTACCCGCCTTCTGTCAACAGCAGTGATGTAGGTGACGCCGTCAAAGAGCATTTGCAATCGATTGCACAGTTCTTGCTTCTTATCATCTCTTGAACGGTAGCTGTTCAGCGGTCTGCAATTTAGCTGTCTCCTTGGATGGCACCACAAGGCGTCTTGGTAGAGGATGAAATCCAGTCTGACCCATGCTCCTTCATCACAAGGGATGATCGGCACATCGGCCTGTCCAAGCTTGAAACCAGCGTTTCTTCCAACGTAGTGTCTCAAGTTCTTTTGGATATTCCTCACGGCTTGTTCGCCAAACCATTTGCGATCACTACTCATATCTACCACTGGAGGACACGGACGTACTCCTCTCCAATCAGGATGACAGAAATGGCAGCCCCGGTCTGGGATCTGGTCCAGTATTCCGCAATGGACGTCGTCGGAAATGCAAACGTAGGATGGGTTTGCATACCCTTGCCAATGGTCGTTCTCGTCCACGTGGGGGTACAGCCTTCGATCTCCTCGTTGAGGCATTTCCTGTCCCGGTGTGAAGTGCACTGCTCAATCTTCTTGCACACTTCATGGTTGTTTCGCAATCCCACAGCGAAGATGGACTCACCGCAAGCGTCACGTTCTCCTCTTCGTCGGTTGATGGCGTATCCGAGAACCTGAGGTGAGTCGTACTCGATAACGCGAATGCCAGCGTGTGCCCCATGGGCTCCACGTCTGGGCATAGCTTTCGCCTTCGGACGTCTCGTGGAAGAAGAAGCAATAATTTCAATGTCAACGTCCATCGATGCAGCTGATGCTTGACCTTCACGATCAGTTCGCCTCTCGGTGGTCTCCTGTGATAGGGATAACACCTCGGGAAATGAGGTAATAGCATTGGTCATGGCCTCGAAAGCATCACAGAGAACCCGTTTCAGCTCAGAGTTGCTGTTGCATGCACGGAACCCGTGCTCCGAACTTCCGCATAGTACGCATAGGTTCTGAGGATTGTCGGTGTTCACGTCGAACGAGCCATGAACGAGAAGCCTTGTTGCGTCCCAGGCCTTTGCTCTCGCTATCCTCAAAGCATCGCTTTCGCCAACGGCTGCGCCTCCCTCTGGTTCTTCATGATCCATGCGAACATCTTCTTGTGGTAGTGTAGATGTGTCCACACCGTGCGAGAAATCGTAGTGAATTTCCTCAACCTCATTCTCACCGCCCATACCAACACTCCCACGGAGATGCCGGTCGATCGCTGACGATGGTACTGCAAGGAAACGTTCTTCGTCATTGACGACGGCAACGATCTCTTCGACGTCTCTTTTGACAGCCTCATCCCTGGACGGAGGCTTCCTTTTCTTGGGTTGCCTGGCGGCCACCAACTTGATGCTTTCTTTGGTGGACTACAAGAGGAAACACCTTTCAATGCCGTAGATGCACGGCTTGATGTCTCGCTGACTTCCCCACTTCCTGAAGAGGAAGGGGTATCGTACGCCAAAGGTCAATAATCCCAAAGACAATTCGAAAACATCACCCAGGAGCTCCTCAGCGGGATTCTCGCTGCCTCGGAACACTTCTTCTCTTTCTTGTGGAGTCAACAACGTCTTCACAAAGCCGGCGTACGCCGCGTTCCCTGCGTCGTAGTACGCGACGAAGCAAAGGTTGTTCTGCGCGTCGTAGGCTCTGCCCCATGCCAGCTGCTTTATTGCCTTTCCCCACGATGAGTGTGCGATGATGGTCGCAATGGGGCATCGAAGGCCGCCATATGAGGAAACCACTTTTCCCACGGACATGTAAACAAGAGGACAGCACTTCTTGATGTATTCAAGCAAGTTCTCACCTGGCTTCGCGTCCTGAAAGTGCTGAATGTAAAGGTACCTTGCGCAAGCAAGAGCATACGTCTCACTGTTTCGAAGATCCTTGTACTACTCGTTGATCTTGAAGTACGAGTTGTGGATGCTTGTAAGTGCAACCAATGCATCGATCCGGAAACTGAGGTCGATCAGATTTGAACGATGTGTTGTCCCGGCAAAAGATGTTGGCTTCCTTCTCCTGTTCGCAAAGTTCGCAGAAGAAAAGCTCCAGTGTCGCCAAAGCATTTACATCCGACGTGCTGTAGTCGTCGATCTTGAACCAATACTGTTCTTCAGAGTAAGTTGGCTCTGGAACACTCAGGGCGATATCGAAGTTCTGCCACTCCACCTCAGGACTCCTGACCACGTCATCGCGCCTGGTTTCCTCTTCGATGGCACGACGTCTATCACGAGAAACCCACGCATTGAGATTCACTGTGGAGGAGAAATGCAACTGCGTGAAGTACACGCAAATTTCCGTAAGACGCTTGATATCAGCGGTCTTCCGGCGAAGCATCTTCTCCCAGGTAACCAACTGTTGCGTGTTCAGGAAGCAAGCTGAAATCATCTTTTCACAAAACAGTTGTTTCTCGTAGATCGCGAACCCTCTGTGATGATGCTTCTGTGGCTCATGTTCCGTGATCTTGTCGGTGCTGAACACGTGAGATCCTGACTGGCTCTCTTTCAGGGAGCTCAATAATTTGCACCAAAAAGAGGAACCATGAACTACGATGCATCCACGAAGTCGTAGCTGAAGCGTAAGGTAAGCGCCCACGGCGTCATACCCCGCAAAGTTCTGCCTCTGGTCGAGAACTTTGTGAGAAGCAGCAAGAAAGCGTCTGTACGATTGGAGGTCTGGGCACCATGCTCAGGATCTTGTCGAAGTACTTGATGTAGGTATCCTTCAAGATCTCCTCCATGTTCTCTTGAGCCTGTAGGGATGACTCGTGTAAAGGCACCGCCAGGTTGAACAATTGCGTGCAAGCAAAGGTGAACATGTATGGTCACCATCGACTTCTGCTCCTGTGGCATTCTCTCGAGATTGTCAATGAGGTTCGTAAAGACCTTCTGCGTTTCCGAGAAATTGACCACTGTGCTGATCGTTGGCGAGAATTTGACAAATTGACTCCATCCTTTGCTCATCAGCTCGTTTTGCAATGGGAAATGGGTGGCCCCATTCTTGGCATACAACTCGAAATCGGTGCACAGTATGGTTGGCTGCGACCGTATCGTTGTGGCATCGGGATTTCCGCCTATGGAAAGCTTGGCTCGCATTTCTTTGGCCGCCTGAACGGCGTTCCGTCGGTGCATAGCCGCTTCCTCTTCATGTCTCTCTCTTTCAGATGGCATAAGGCATAATGATCTCCCTTTCTGCATCAGGATCCTGGAGGTCGTCTTCGGAGTTGACGAGAGCAGCAACGGTGAGCATCGCTGGCGTAGGCAAGTTTTCGTAAGGATGTAGGTCACAGCCGTGATAAAGCCTAGAGTACATCTTCAGCCAATCAGAAGTCCCAAGCTTCACGTAGACCTTGAGCGCCAGGCCATAGTCAGTGTTCTGCGTCACAGATTGGATCCTTGCCAAGTAAGTCACAAGACGTCTGACGGAATGCTCGATAGGGGTAGTTCCCGTGTCTTCATTTGGGATACACCTCGGTGTTTCATCATATGCTGCTGGAAATACCTCTGGTTGTGCCACCGAGCAGAACAACTTTGCCCTGCAAATAACGGAGCTTTCCTTTGAAAAGCGGAAGACGTACTCAACGGCGCCCTCGGGATAAGGTACTTCTGCCCATTGGGCCATCGTCTCTTCCGTTGCTGGCGGTTGTTGTGACGAGGAGGAAGATGCCGGCTGGCTGCCGCAAGGGCCCGCCGAGCTAGGCTGGCTTCCCTGTTGACCAGTTTCGCTCGGTGCGTCTCCTGTCCTTGCCCTCTTCGGTCCGTATGCAGGAGTTGCCTGTGGAGGTGCGCATTGCCCCAAGGTATATCACGCCATGGATCATCATTGATGTCTTGCGAAGGATGCTGAGGACCTTGAGGGAATTCTTGAGCACGCGGTCGTGCATCTCGAACGATACGTCCCGTGGCATACACCCATTCAGGATGACGTGAGGGATTCGGTGGAAAGTTGCTATCGCCACTGCGCAACGCAAGAGGCTTTGGCGCACGACTCAACTCGTCTTCCCAAACTTCGAAGGCTTTCCTCTTGATCACACAATCCTTTGTAAGTCCTGACTCGACGGCCAACTGGTTCCACGACCACATCAAGCAAGCTTTTGGAAATTGCATTCCTCCTTGGCTTTGAGGTGTTGACGCCAGGCGCACCTGCATTTCGGCGTAGCCCTTGCTCCTTGATGTCATGGTGTACTCGGTCGGTCCAGGCATACCTCTGGTGTTCATCCACTTCTTGGTTGTACTTGACGTACGCATTGATCAAGTGGATTGCCGCAATGTGCCGCAATGTAGGCCTGCATGTTGCACACTGCGAACGCAAGAGGTTCCTCGGTATCAGGGGATAATGCCTTTCCAGCCAAGAGCACGACGTCAAAGGTGTTGATGTACGGAGGCCGTTGCTCGCCAGACGCCAATGGCCTTGCATCGATGTCCCCGTTGTGAGTCCTGATGCCATTGCCCGCGTTCTTTGCGAACTTGACCGTCATCTTGGAGACGTTCACAATCTCTCGAGCTCACTCATCATCTGACGCCGAACGGGAAACTTCCAGTAGTAGTCCTGGAATATGTTGTAGAACTCCCCTCACAGAATATGCAATTCCTGTAACCTCCTCAATGTTGTTCACGACGTAAGTCTCGTTGAAGAAGTTGGGACTTGTGACAGTTGCAATCGCCGTGGCATCCAGATTGAATCGGTCACCAGATATATCCTCGCTGATCTTGTTGGACGAGAAATCCAAGCCATCTCTTATAGCACCGGATTCAGCAAAGAGGTCAATAGTGTACTTGAACCGGATCGCAATGTCGGCGACGGTTTGGCGGCACGTAGATGCCACCCGTCTGAGGTCCGACAACACTTCTCCATACGACTTCTGCTTGATCTCTTCAGTTGCTGCTTCAACCCAGGCTTTGATTATCTCGCGAAATCTCTGGTCAGAGTTGCCGTTGACCGGCTGTGCAACACAGACGAAGGCGATGAACAAAGGTGGAGCTTGATAACGGATCCACTGATGAACCAAATCATTGCTGATCACCCTGCCCGCCACGATCTTTGTCGGCAATTCTCTGTTTCCAGCGTTCGCGGAGAACATTTGGAGAAACTTCTCAAAGGTGTTCAGTGTCCCTAAGAACTTCTGCGGGATCATGTTCTCGGGCGCCACGCCAGTAAATTGGAAAGGAACATCATTGCCTGCATTCGCCATGGCTCCGGGTTAGGATGGTATCTCAAAGATGCCCAATCCTACCCTACGGTTTCCCGGTTCCGCCATATCCAAAGGATTCCGACTTCCCCGGTCCACCGATATTCAGACCTTAGTTGTTGACAGGGCGAGACCTGATGCGACAGGCCTCAGTGCGCAAACTGTCACTCCTACCGTTATTGGAACCATGCATAGCTTCAGCACTTTCATGATGTCCTGACTCAACACTGTGACACGACAAGCTGCGGTCGTTCAGAGCAATCACTGACCATGCCTTGCGAATGCAACCACGCAAACTGCACTCGCTCACGCTTTCGGCGTTTTGGGGAACATGCTCTCCAACACACTTGGAATCAAAGAAATTGGAAATCACACAACGACGTCCAGTCAATCTTCCTGTAGCATCGAAACACTCAGCAGCTTTGACCTTGTGAACCTTAGACCCTAAAAGAGCATGCAGTTCAGGCCATGACCAACACGAGCAAGTCGACGGCATGTCAAGAGAAAAATAGACATGTGGCGATTCCGCAAACTTCTTGAGTAGGCATTTGAGAGACTTCAAGACCCCCCGGAAGGCCTTGTACCCCCCAGGCGACCTATCTCCCTAGGGCCGGACCCACCGCCTGATCACTGTAAACAGCACAGGCGTCTGCACTTTGTTGCCGCGCAATTTGTTGATTTTCTTCACCAATTCATCTTCTTGAGCAGCAGATTTGGGAGGTCCATCAAGTGCAACACACGCGTGACGATCAGACCCTTCAACTGCGACTTCATTGTCGAGCTGGAACCCAACAATCACACCGTCGAGTTTCTTCTTGGGTCCTCTCGTTGGCATCGACACAAGCCTGCCGTCACCTGCCTCAAAGGCTAGGGACTTAAGCAGTCTCTTCGACACTTGGCTGGTCCTCACCTCCTTGTTACTCGGGTCGTTGAAGTCATGCTCTTCGGCATGCTTATGGTTCGATTTGCAGCGATCTGGAGGCTTAGGCTCCAGAGTCGTGTTGGCAGTGAAGAACTCCCATTCCCCGTTGCAGTACTTAACACAGGATTGTCCTTGATGGTCTGCGCTCATCAATCGTTGGCCGTGAGAACACCCGTCCAAGACGACGTGCCTCCATGCCTCACCCTTGGACAATGATGTACACTGCTTGGATTCGGCGATCTGAGCTTCTGGCGGAACCTCGACGACCACCTGAGTTCCTGACTTCGCTGCAGTAAGGGCAATTCTTTGGACGACCTCCCCCCATGGGTAATTCGTGCCCTTGGAGAGATTTTCGAAGATCCCGAGGTCATAGTTGTTGTACTTGATGAAGCCCCGGTCTATCCATGACGCACCGCCTAGGATTCCTGCTCGGACGAAAACCGCCGAATTCTTGGATCCTATCAGACGTTGTTGGAGCACGTCATACAGATATCCACACATCGCATCGTCCGGTTGCCTACCTGCACACAGGATGTTGAGCTGCTTTTGGGGATCGTAACGCTGATCTGGGTCGTGAAGCTTTATGCAACCAATGCCGGGCGCATACTCGTTCCACCAATTGTCATGATCCACACCTGTGAGCATCCAAATGGACACTTCCTTCGGTGCATCAACGATTTTGATCTTCACCTTCACGTCACTCCGCTCATCCTTGTGCACGTGCAATATGTTCTGGTCACTGTCATAGAACTCGATAAGTAGCCCGCCGTTGTAGTCCTTGAATTCAACCACATGCGGCACAATGGCTTTGTTGTAGCTTGGTGCTTCGTGTTCTCGACATTTTCGTGACATATTCTCCCATACTTCCTCGATTATTCGTGTCCATAACAGCGATCCATGGTAGGGAATTCGTTGTGTGTGTGACATCGACCGTTCCATCGAAGAGGTAATGTGAAGCCCTGGTACCCCCCATGGACAGCGCGAGCCAGCGCGGCGACCACCGCACGCCATTGAGGCGACAGGGCGCGCACAAAAATCCGGCCGTATGGGTAAACGACTTCACACCGCTCCGCCGAGTCGACCGCAGGCGCTGAGGCCAAGGTTTGCCGAATTGGATGATACTGAAAAACGGCACGTTCCACATAGCGATCAAACTTGACAGGCGACTGGGGAATAGCAGCGCGATCCTCAACCTGATGCCACACACCTTCGCGAAGAATCCAGGTCGACCGAAGGTAACGACCCGGCGGCAACGCCGACGGTGGATCCCGCAGCAAGCGCGGAAACTTGACAACCAGAATGGGGTCAACACTGTCGTGTTCCTGCAATCCTTCCTTGCTCGAAAGACCCGCGCGATAAAGCACCTGCGGCAATATGGGAGTCTGAGTGTAGGGAAAGCAAGGCACATCGCTCTTAAAGCTGTAAAGCTGTTGCCCTTTCTCATCCGTACTTTGGGAATGAGTGGGCTTCATCAGATCCATGATGTCCTGGGAACCAATCATGGCCGGAGGAAAAATGTTGATTAACTGGCACGCATGCGTCCAGGATACCGTGTCCTTAAAGGATTTGGTGTGTATGTCCGCAGCCATCTTGGCCTTAACCTCATAGGCCAGAGACACACACCCTTCCTGAAAGATGGCATGCGTCCACCCAATGGAAATACCGTGCGACCGTTCGAGGTGGCGCATGGTAGGACTCTTCCCAGTGCGAATTACTCCGATCACGGTCTGGTTGTCGTCATAAAAGACGAAATTGGGGTCTTTGCCGCCAAGCTGCTGGCTTCCTGCCACAACGTGATAGCAGGAAGCCCCAGACGGGTCCATTTGGTGATTTTGCGAGCAAGGTTGTTGATGCGCAACAGGTCGAAACGACAAATGCGTGCGGCATACAGCAACTTCATGAGTATACTGGCCGCCTGAGGAGCCAAAGCACCTCGAGTTTCGTCTGCGACTGCCTCTTCCTCTGGGCCCTTGGGAACAGGTGGAGGCGGTATTAACCGACCATCCGCGTCAATAGGCACGGTGTGTCCACACCACGTGCATTGATGACTTTTCCCGTGACAAGCCGGGGCCCTGGCCGGATGATTCTTTGTCTCCTCCGCGGGACTCGGCGACGGAACTGTCTTGAATTTGCTTGGATCGAACCCGGTAACATCACAGTACTTCTTGACCGTCATGTCGAGGTACGTTTCCATGTCATAGGTCGCGGTCTGCACACGTGTCTTGTCGTGCAGCGCTGCTTCTCCTTTGGATATGCGGCAGTCCAGGTACAAGCCCAACGGCGTTTCCTCCTCAAGGCGGAGTTCCTTGCGAAGCATTTCCCATCCTGTTGATCTTTGGGTCCAGCCATCTTCAAATCGTCGACGTAGATCACCAAGAGCAACTTCTTTTCCGGATGAAAATACGACGAAGGCCATTCGTCCCCTATAGGCTTGAAACCAACCTTTTGCACTGCCGTGTGACAATGTTGTTCCCACATGGTTCCCGCATCAGGATGTCCATATAGAGCTTTGACTAGCCTGCAAACCGGTCGTCGGAACTTGCGATGATTTGCTGACGGACGCCAGGCCTCCTCGGGTAATTCCACCCAGCATGGAGCGCCGGTGAGCCGAGCCTGAATATAAGCCTGAACGGCGTCTGCGATTTGTACATCGTTCCCTGGTAGACAACCGTAGTAGTCGGCCCATCGTGATGCGTCGAAGGTAGCTGGGGAATTGCCGAGATCTTGGAATAGCGCTGCTTCCATGTTCTGGTCTTTCACCTGATCACCAAGCAACACACCACGCCCTTTGAACTTCCTGGCAGGGTCATCTTCCTTCAATTCATAGTTCTTCTCATAGATGAGCCCATGCACACGAGCCATGTGTACCTTTTCGCCCTTCTTCTTTGCCTCTTTGATCACGTCGTCATACTCACGGGTTTGAGAGAAATCGAAGCCTTCTTGATCCCACAGCCCCTTCCACTCCTTCATGAATGCTTCCATGGCTTTGGGGTTGGAGACCATTTCTTTCCGTGTGACTGGACGGGTGACCATGGCATTGAAGCATGATCGTTGTTCTGGATTCTTGACACGGTGTGGCTGTTGAGGCACTGACGTAGTACAAGGCATGGCCGGTATCCAATCTTCATTGAACACCGAGCAAGCCGGAACTGCTGGAATGACATCTTGAAGATATTCGTCTTGAATTTGTTGCTGGACCATTTCCTCAGCCCATTCCCAACCTTCAGTACATGATCCTCCCAGCTCAAGGTCGATCTTGTTGCACTGAACCACTTTGGGAAAAATCATCTTGTCCAGCATATTGTTCGCGATCTTCTTGCCCACGGCGGCTCTCTTCTTTTCCTTCTTGGCTGCCTTAGCCTTTTCCCGTTTGTCTTTCTTGTACGCTTTAGCTCTGGCTTTGGCACCCAGTGTATCCCACTCCTCTGGTGAGTACAAATGTTTGGGTCGCCGAGAGGGAACGATACGCCGACCGTCGCTTCCAACCTTGTGCGCGACTCCATGTCTGTCGATCTTGCATGCCTCTCCATCATCAGTGAGGTAGATCTTACCGTCGCCCTTGACACCTGTATGCCAATGTTCGACTTCATCTCCCACAAGCTTGGCCTCCTTCAGTCGACGTAGGATATCCCCTGGACCCTCCTCGTCTCTCTTCTAACTGTAGCGCTGTACGGGAGCTTGTTCTGCTGGAGGTCTGTGTGCCTTTTGTGTTGCTGCTGTTGTGTTCTCTCCTCCGGCGGGTTCCCTCCTCGGAGCCACAGGAGCGAGCGACGGCCACAGACTTCCTTGGGCTTCGGAGCTTCTGCAGCCTACAAAGCTCGGGGCTTGGGGCTTCAAGAGGGCAAACACGAGGTCCAAGGCCATCTGGACTTTGCTATTTCGAGAATCGCTGTTACTTAGACTCGCCTTGCTGCCACATTAGAGGCTCTGTTACTTAGAGACTTGACTGCTACGTAGAAGTCCATCAAATGCTACGTAGAGGCTGCTACTTAGATGATTCTTAGAGAACTCTGTTACTTAGATCCTGCTACTTAGACCGGTGTGTTCCTTTCGGAATAAGCCTTCCCGAAGGTCCCACCTCATCAAATGACCGTGGTTCCCCAGGTTTAGCTGAGCCCGACGATTTCGGTAGCGCACTATGCGACTCTCCTCGTTCAGCTGCTTCCTCAAGAAGTTTGTCACCTATAGCATCAAGAACTTCGTGATCATCGATCGGGACATCTCCGACTCCAATTCCTTCGTCTTCTTCTCCAGGATCAGGAGGGAGTTTGAGCGGTTGATCATCATCAACATCGTCATCATCACTATGACCACCATCCGATGGACGACCTCCTGGGTCGAGACCGTTGATCTCTTTGCCTTTCAGCTCGGCGTTATCCTTGAGTCCTTCAAGCGTAGAGTTCATCCTTCCGTACTCATTCTTCAATGGAAACTCGATTTTCTCTGGGAGGACCACCACTTCGGTCGTGAAAGGTTGGGCAAGTCTCCTTGGCGCTACTGCATTCATGGACAAGTTCACGTTTGCAAACTCGGCCATGTCCCAAACTCTGTACTTTCTCGACCGTTGTTGTCCTGCAGTGATCACGTACCCTGCGAATATCCCTGGAATTCCCTTTGGGTCGAACTTTCCGGTGTACGTCATGTCCTTTCTTGTAGACGTAGGCTTGAGAATACTTTTGCACCGAATGGTATTTCTTTCCCTTTGAAGTCTTCCCCCGTCATTCTCTTCCATGCTGAATCGCCACCCCCTTCAACGTCTTCGATGTTGAGATTGTGAGTCACACAGTTGAGGGCAAAGGGCCAATACTGCGCCGGTAATCCTGCATGAAGTAGCGCGGTAGCCACGGTGTTGATCCCCACCTGGTTGGTTCTTTCTGCAAGAGAATTGTTCTTGGGATGACCGGGCAATGAATGATCAACTGGAATTCGGAGTTGCATCATTGCTGAGTCAAACTCGGGCGCAGCATCGCTGTAGGCAAGCTTCACCTTCCGTCTTCCAATCAATCTCCTCAAAGCACCCACCACGTCTTCTGTGCATCGATTCCTCGTCGGAATAGCGGCGATGACTTTGGTTGCAACATCGCGCACAACCAGAATCTCTCGATCTTCGTCGTCGTTGCCCACGCCCATGGCAGCAGCTTTGCGCATGTCCAGGAAGTCGAAGGTGATCAAATCCCCCCATGACTTCAATTCCCTTTTGAAAGCTCCACGTTCCGTCCGGTAGTGCTTCATCTTAGCTCGAACGCATGTTTCACAGTACGGATTTCGATACCGATGAGTGCATAGATGTGCGAGTGTCTTGGCCCTTTAGAGTACCGATCTTCGCTTTGCGAGTAGGTGCTCCTTCACCTTCGACCTCGATCTCTCTTTCGTCTTCTGCCTCATTTTCACGTTCTCCGTCTGGTGGTTCTGGAGGCCTTCCTGCTTCCGCCAGTGGCACTTCTTCGTCAGGAGCTTCATCTGCCGATATCTCATCATCAGGAGGTCCTTCAAGTTCCTCTTCAGGCGGACCTTCTGCATCCTCTCCTGGTGTTGCTGTTGCGGAGCGATCCATCCTCACCAATGTTGTCGAATATGGTTTTGATGTTGGTCGCAACCTCATCCTTGCGTGGTCTTGACTTCTGACTTCCCGCACGAACGTGAGGGATGTCGCCATGTACGAAGAGAGATATCCGTTTGCCCTCCGGGTTGATCATGAATGGATCTTTGCCGGGTGGCCATACGAAACCATATCCTTGCTGCATACATCTCTTTCCCACCGAAAGAACTGATGGTGTATCATCGAGAACATAGGCGTTGATCGTTTCCGCGCATGACTTTGTCTTGAAGTTGGACATCAAGTCCGCAGCAGTATTGCCATTCGCAGTCTGGAACGATACTCCACTCTCCGGGCTGACAAGCGTTTCCAATCCATGTTTCTCGACTTTGCGTTGAGATATGAGGTCATGTCCGCAACCAGTGTCCATAAGAAACTTGATCTTGGGTCGTACCCATGTAGGCTGCACCACACATGTGACTTCATCGAAGATGTTCAGTCCTTTGCTCTTCTTGGAGTTGACCTTCATCTCCACAATCTCATCCTCGCCGTCGAAGAATATGATCTGTTTGACCTTGTCTGTCCCAGGAATTCGGACATACACACGTCGATCGCCAGGCATGTCATCTGACACCATGTCGCTCATTAACTGAGCCTTCAATCGAGCTTTGTGCATTGCGAATCCAAGCTCGTTTGCTCGACTCTCACTTTCGATGAGTCTCTTTGTGTTGACTTTGACTATCTTCTCACCACGGTCTTTCTTCGACTTTCTTGGTTGTGATGATTGGAAAGCCACATCTGCAGCAAACGTAACTCGCTTGTCCACTTTCGGTTTGGCCGACCAAGTCGTTCCATCCCGCTCATCATCTGTGGAACAATCCGAATCTATGTCGCTTTCGATGGAAGAACACTCAGATTCTTCATCGTCCTCAACGCACGCTTTCTTGCACACGGCTGGAGCAAGAGGATTCCATGCTCTGCACATTCTGATTGCTGGAGCTGCATTCTGCGGCTTGCCCTTTGCCTTCGCCTTCCCTTTTGCTTCAGCCTTGGCTTCAGACTTCGCCTTCGCTTTAGCCTTGGCCTTAGCTTCGGGCTTGTCCTCGCCTTCTGCTGGTGTAGCGGGATTAACGTGAGCGTACGGGCAATTGTCCCGACTGCAACTTCCGTTCTTCTTGAAGTTGAAACACACCTTCTATTTGTTGTCGGATGGAGGGCTGCTCCCGGCTGTTCTTCGACCAGGAGTGGTGCTTCGTCCTCGCTCAGGTGTCTTCTTCGAATGACTGTACGGACATCGATCTCCATTCCTGCATTCGCTGTGCTCGGAGAAGAAGAACCTGCATCTGATGTGCTTCAGATTTGGCTTGCCATCCGTAGATTCAAATCTTTCCCTTGGCTTGCCTTTGTCCGGCTTGCCTTTCGCCTTGGCCTTGGAGTGTGCCTTGGCTTTGGTCTGGGGAAGAACTGGGGCTGCGTTCTCATTGTCCGCCTTATTGCCCTTCTTGCCGGGTGCAGTGCCATTACCCTTTCCACCGCCTTTGACTTTCGCCGCGAGAGCAGACATTGAGTCCTTGCCGGCCACCATCAAGTTGAGACCAGAACTGATTTGCTGTTGATTTCTGTTCTCTCGATTCCTCCGAATACATCTTTCCATCATGTGGAGAAGCTTGCGGTAGGAACGTTCCGGATCATGGTAGTTCAGCATGTCGTACTGCACGCATAGCTCCTGCTTCAATGCTGGTGAACCCTTGATCTTTTGAGTAGAGTGTGTCCCTCAATGCTGTATCAGACGGAACGTCTTCGGGTCACATTCGATCAATGATCTCCAACCATGTCTGCTTGAACACGTTCATCTTCTGGTCACCTTGATACTGCAACTTGATGAGAAAGTCAAGTGACACAATCATGTCCAGTCGATCGCGACTTCTGAAGCTTTCGTACATCATAGCGATGATCTGTCTCCCTTTGAGTAGCTTTGATTGATCACGCATGAGCTTGTTCGCCGAGCGGTTGACATTCAGGTACAAATCTTGTGCACCATCACCACCATTCTTGACCATGGCAGTCATAGCCACACCCAGCTTGACGTCAATGCTTTTGAACTTGATGTTCCCGGAGTCGTTAAGCGCATCGATATCAGGATTCGGACGGAATGCCGGCTGAAGCCACGCTATCCATTCCTCGTGGTTTGGATCCGCGCAGGCACCGAGGACTGTCAAGGTGTGTCACCTTCGGAAAAGGTGGAACAACTACCTTGTCCGCTTCCCTGCTGGGTATTTTGACGGAAGTGACTTCATGATCGCCTTCTTCATCTGGATCATTAGGAGGGCCGGGGTCTGGATCACCGCCGCGACGTCTTCGCCCCTTTGAAGGTGGATCATCCAGGAGCACGTGGTCCAAGGTTCGTAGGAGACTCGGATGGGGATACTTCCTCTTCGAAGTTCTGTCCGTCATCTCCGTCTTGTTCTTGGTCGTATTCCTGTTGGAATTGCTCGGCTGTCTGTCGCCAAATGTTCCGATCTTCGCGCAGCCTCTCCTCATTCTTCTTAGCTTCACGCAGTTCGAGTCGAAGCTTGACCATTTCTGCCTCGATCTTTCCTACGTGACTGTTGACATCTGACGACGCCGACGGAGCGGTATTCGCCATTTTAGCAATTCGTTCACATCTTGCTTGATCGAGTCGTGCCCAAGGCATCGCCCCGTACGCAAACTTGTCTTGCCTACTGATGTCATCTGCCCTTAAGACGTCTTGCTCGATCAGTTCGGCATTGAGATTGTGCGTCTTGGCGTCATCGGTCTCTTCAATGAAGATGTTCTTGTTGGTTGCCCCAGTGGACACACCAAACGTTAGTGGAACACTTGTTGATGAAGAGGACGACGCTCCTTGCATGCCGCGCATTCTGAGGAGTTCGCGAAGTTGATTGTCCCGCGCCTCCTTCCCGGAAAAAGTTGCACTTGATACTGGCGCCGAACTTGCCGGAAACATTGGACTCGGTCGCTCAACGTTCGCGTCTTGCACGATTGGGGATATTGCGGAGCAAGTATCAATGATGGTTTTCCCTCTGTTAACAGGACTGCGCAAACTGGGAGAGCCAATATCAGGGGATCGCACCTCGCTAGCTACCGGAACTGCAGACCCTTTCTGACTTCCTACTTGGCTACTCACAAATTCCCATCCCGTCTCAGAAGTTCTCGATGACCACGCTGCGTTCGATGATCTTTGAGAATGTTGCTGACTCCGCATGCGTTCTGCTTCGAGCTCCAACTTCCAAGATTGCCGATTGCGTGCTTGAAGTTCTTCTTGTTGCTTGAGTCAACGACGTAACTCACCCAATTCACTGTAGGGCAGTAATCGGACGCTCGCGTTCAGATACTTGACGTGCATAAGCTTCTGCTTGAAACATTCCCGCATTGGCTTCAAGATTGGCGGCTTCCTCCTTGCTGAGTCGATCTTGTAGGGAATAAATTCCAGCTTCTGCTGCAAGAATATTCGCCTCTGCTTTTGCCATATGCTCTTCTCCTCTGAGCATCTCGATCGCCTCGCGCATCGCTGTCACTTCGGCTTCCCTGCTGGATGCTTCCATCCTGTATTTCAATGCTTCGTGAGCCTTCTCATTCAGAGTGTGCGTCAGCTTCTGGTACTGCATGGCCATGTTGTATTCACCGTTCTGAGCCATATGTTCCAGTTCAGCAAAACTCTGTGAAGCCTCGTTGCGTAGTTGACCCAATTCTTGATGTAGCATCTCTGCCGTGTGTTCATCACGTTGATGTTGGGCAGAACTCGCTTCCTCGATGCCTCTCACGACGTGGACGTACTCTTCGGTTGTCTCTTGGTGACGTTGGTTCACATGTCCAACTGCGTTCGATAGGATATTCCGTTGCCGTTCGAGCTCTTCAATCTGCATGGCCTTGATCTTCTACTTGATAGAACTCCAACCATTGCACCATTTGCTTCACCTGCTGGTTCATCATGACCATGCTTTCTTCATGCCTCCGAACTTCACGTTCATGAGATTTCCTCATCTCTTCTTCGGCGTAAAGAATTTGATGTACACGACTTTCCTCCGCAGACGGTAGCATCTGGTGTGTCGGACTGGCGTCACCCTGCGTTTGGAGACCGATAGACTCTCCGCCACGCTGATGGAATTGAATCGCCTTGTCCAACAATGCATCAGCATTGTCAGTACTCCCGGAGGGGGCTGAACCCAGGCTCCTTGCCAAAGGCACAGGATCCATGTCAGCGTCCCGTCTTCTCACCAAAGGTGTCGAAGACTCGAGTGGTTTCCTGACTGCTGTCCGCGACGAGCTTCGGGAAGAAGATTTCGATCTCGACTTTTCTGGACTCCTAATCTCTCGATCCTTCGCCTTGGTGGACAGTTGCAAACATTGCATCACCGTCTTTGATGGTCGTTTGTCGAGTGGTTTGGGCTTCGATCCTGTCGATGAAGATCTTGGCGTCGATAACGTTCTTGGCAATGATCTTGCCCTTGTTCTCTGATTGACGTGTTGTGACGATCCCAGGCATTGCCACATCGCCACCAAAGGTCATTGTCGTATCTGCACTTGACCCAGATGTCATTGCTGGTGTACTGACTCGATGACAAAGTCCTTGTGTAGGCAGAGCCTACGGCTGATAACCTGCGCGAGGGTTTGGTCTTGATATCTCGTACATAGTTGATCACCTCACCGAGCTCCTTTTTGTAGTTGTGGTTGCCTAGGACCAAGCACTGGACAACGTAACCCAAGCAGGCAAGTTCAGATCTCTTTTCGCTTCCTCGGTACAGCTGAAGTGTCTGTGCAAGGGGGCAATACACGCAATAGCTGATGTCTGGAGACAAGATAGGAAAATAATGCTTTCTACCTTCTTCCTCTGCCTCGTGCTCTTTGAGCTCGTGGCTTCGGTTTGACCTTTGACTTGAGCCAAAACATTCGCCGGAGAACATCAGATCATGGGATAGCCCAAGGCTGATCACCATGTCTTTTGTATACTCTTATACGCGTCTCACAGCCGATCAACAAGGATGCCCAAGGCAGCCCATGTGATGTAAGTTAACATTGCACTAGGTGTCGAGGTCTCTTCACAGTAGTAGTAGTAGTAGTAGT